GGGCCGTAGTTTGCCCACGGCTGGGTTAGGGGCAATCAGGCAGGTAGGTAGGTGAGTGCTTAGGAGCCAGCAATCCCAGATTGTGAGAGGGGTGTCCGACTGCTGGTTGGACATCCCCTGAGGGGTGTCCGATTGGAGTGGGTGCAGGCTGGACTGAGGGAACCCCCCACTCCATGCACCAGGCCTCTAGTTATATATAAAGAACAAAAGCCCCTGGATTAGCTTATCCTCTCTTTTTACCCCCACCCCCACCTTCAACTAGACCCCAGTTTAGAAAAAGGGAAGTCAATGTAACAATTAAAGAAAAAAACAAATAAATGAATTCTAGGCCTTTAGGAGGAACTCTGTCCTGAACAGTTCCAAGGGGCACCTTTCAGGGTCTTCAGGAGTCATACGTTACTACTTGTATGACCATGCATAATGTTTTTGGCTTTTATGCTCCCAGACACCCAAGTCCTGGTCATTTAAGGATAGTTTAAAAGATTTTAAGGGTAATTTTGATAGAGATTCTCTTTTGATTTTTACCTTATTCACTGACCTTAGAACCTAACTCCCACTCCTATAATTTTTAGCACTACAATACCAGGGTTACATAGCAGGCATATGCCATTCTGTTCATAGTGGAGGTATTCTTATTTCATGTGGTTTAATCATATGTGCTCATATACTATTAGTTTCTAATTAAAGCTGAAATAGTTCAAATATGGATGTAAAGAACATTATAATGAAATATTCCAAATGTGACTATGGCTCTAGTTAGTCTCCATAGATTCTTTCATTCTTTAATTTTATAAATAACTAAAAGCAAAGTAAATGAAAGTTGGATTAACCTTCAATCCTATATAATAAAAGAGAAACATGTAAATTGACCGTCCCTTTGCTACGCTCACCAGCCAATGGGGTGAATATGCAAATTAACCCGCCAAAGATGGTGGGTTAATTTGCATACACAGGCGCCAGGTGGAGAGAAGAAGTGGGAGAGCCGGCAGCTTGGGGGGACATGGCTCACTCGGTCGCTTCCAGTGTGGGGAGCACCAGGAATTCTGGGAATAGTAGTTCTGATGGCAGCCCCAGGTCCAGAATCAGAAGCCCAGAGCGCGGGGAGCACCAGGAATGCTGGGAATCATAGTTCTGGTGGCAGACGGATCTCCTAGACACTAGAGCAGCGGTTCTCAACCTGTGGGTCGTGACCCCTTTGGGGGTCAAGCGACCCTTTCATAGGGGTGGCCTAAGACCATCAAAAAACACATATATAATTACATATTGTTTTTGTGATTAATCGCTATGCTTTAATTATGTTCAATTTGTAACAATGAAATTGGGGGTCACCACAACATGAGGAACTGTATTAAAGGGTCGCGGCATTAGGAAGGTTGAGAACCACTGCACTAGAGCAAAGTGAGCCTGGAGCAAGTTACTATTGCAGTGGGGGATGGAGGGAAAGCAAAGATGAGAGACATAAGTAAAATCATAGTGTCTAGGAAAAATTAAAGGGAAGATATCCTAAAACTTCCAGGAAATCTCCACCAATGAAGCAAAGGAAAAAAAATGCCTCTATTATTCTGTGAGCAACAAACCAAACTGGGTTGGGGGTCTCAGACAATTCGTTCATATGATTGCAAAGACAGACAGAAACTCCAGATTGCAGAGGGCTCCCAGATTGGAGAGGGTGCCGGTCGGGCTGAGGGAACTCCCCAACCCCCATCCCCATGCATGAATCTTCGTGCACCAGGCCCCTAGTATTCTAATAAAAATAATTCAGAGGTTCACTTCTAATGGGAAAGGCTTGTATTACTTAGAAATTATTGATTTTACTCAAACACCAATCATTAAAAAATTGTTACTGCTTTATTATGTAATACTAGTGGCCCAGTGCATGAAATTCATGCACGGGGGTGGGAGGAGGGGTTGTCCCTCAGCCGGGCCTGCACCCTCTCCAATCTGGGACCTCTTGGGGGATGTCTGACTGCCGGCAGTCAGACATCCCTCTCACAATCCAGGACCACTGGCTCCTAACCACTCGCCTGCCTGATTACCCCTAACCGCTTCTGCCTGCCAGCCTGATCACTCCCTAACCGCTTCCTGCCGGCCCGATCTCCCCCAACTGCCCTCCCCTGCTGGCCCGATCACTCCCAACTGCCCTCCCATGCTGGTCCAGTCTCCCCCATCTTCCCTCCCCTGCCAGCTTGGTCGCCCACAACTGCCGCCCCTGCTGGCCCAATCACCCGCAACTGCTCTCCCCTGCTGGCCTGATCACCCCCAACTGCCCTCCCCTGCCGGCCCGATCATCCCCAACTACCCTCCCCTACCAGCCCAATTGCCCCCAACTGCCCTCCCCTGCTGCGACCCACCTCCTCCACGGGAGGCAGCAGAGATGCCAGGACTAGCCTCCTCCGCACCACGCGGAGCCACGGGACCCCCAGGCCTCATCGCACAGAGCAGCAGCCAGGCCCCACCTCCGCTGTGTGCACAGCATCTTGTGGCAGCCATCTGTGGCAATGTCTCGCACAAGGGCCACCTAGGCTTTTATTAGTATAGATAGATTCTAGACCTAATAAGTTTTAAAATTATATATTTACTAGAGGTCTGGTGCACAAAATTCATGCACGGGGGGGGGGGGTGTGCGGGGGGAGTGTGTGTGTCCCTCAGCCAGCCTGCACCCTCTCCAATCTGGGATCCTGGTGGGATCAGGCCTAAACGGGCAGTCGGACATCCCTCTCACAATCCAGGACTCCTGGCTCCCAACCACTCACCTGCCTGCCTGCCTGATTGCCCCTAACTGCTTCTGCCTGCCAGCCTGATCACCCCTAACCACTCCCTTGCCAGCCTGGTCCCCCCCAACTGCCCTCTTCAGTAGGCCTGGTCCCCCCCAACTGCCCTCCCCTGCAGGCCTGGCCCCCCCATCTGCCCTCCCCTGCAGGCCTGGTCACCCCCAACTGCCCTCCCCTGCTGGCCTGGTCACCCCTAACTGCTCTTCCCTGCAGGCCTGGTTCCCTCTAACTGCCCTCCCCTTCAGGGCTGGTCCCCCCCAACTGCCCTCCACTGCAGGCCTGGGTTCCCCCCAACTGCCCACCCCTGCAGGCCTGGTCCCCCCAACTGCCCTCCCCTGCTGGCCTGATCGCCCACAACTGCCCTCCCCTAACGGCCATCTTGTGGTGTCCATCTTGTGTGTTGGAGTGATGGTCAATTTGCATATTACTCTTTTATTAGATAAGATTACCCTAAAGAGCTAATAACATGCTTGTTACTATAAAAGCACTTTTACTATCATGTATTTTTTAAAACTACACAAAATATTGTTAACATTAATTTTCATGTTATTTGGTAAGGAGAATAATATAGTTTATTGTCAGAATGGCTTAAATACATAATTCTGAGTTACTTTTATTATAATTTCTAAAGTAAATTCCATTTTATTCTCTCTGTCTGACTTTAACTTATATAAAAGTAATTTGTGTATATACTATATATGTATTTACATACATATATGACATACATATATGTTTATGTATGTATACACACACTTCCCCTAGCCTTCCCAAATAATACCTTTACATTATTTTTATATCAAAACTATAAGACTATTCCCAACTGCAATGCCCTGTGCATCAGATTTGAGAAACAAAAATACAAATTTCTGTATCACTTAATTTAAAACTCATCAATGCTGGATTCCTTTTTCTTGTTAACCCAACCTTGCATTGATTTTGCTTAATTTTGTGCTTTATTAATATCTGTGCTTTGGACTATATTATCCTATGCTTTATGTATATAAATCTCATTCATGAAATTGACAGCAGAGATTACTTTTTAATAAATAATGTATTATTGTTGAATGAGAACAAATAAATGGAAGCTCAATCAATGAATTCACCATGGAAAAACAGAAGGGATTACCAATAGCAAATGTGAAAAAGGCAAAAGAGCATTTTTTGGATTCAGTGGCAGATAAGAAAGTGTAAGAGTGAACAGCAGCCTGTGGCTAGTTATTCTCCTTGTGGATATTCCCCAAATTTGAAAACATAATTTTGTGCAAGAAGTTGTAAGATGTGAGTTTTCTCATGATATACCAAGTATAAGACCCAGTAGTGTCAAAAAGCAGAAAAAGACAAAACAAAAAACAACAAAAAAAACCTGACAAGAGAAACTGAACAGATAAAAGTGGTTGATGGAATATGATGGAAATTAGAAATTTTTTAAATGGAGGTTGGAAACATCTATAATAATAAAAGTGTAATATGCTAATTAGACCAGGCGTCATTCCAGACGAAGCCAGGACCAGAGGGAAGCCCAGGTCCGGGTGCCAGAGGGATACCAGTGCCTGCAGCCGGGGGAAGGAAGGCCTACTCTTGCATGAATTTTGTGCATCAGGCCTCTAGTCTATACTAATAAAAGCCTAGATGGCCCTCATGCATGACGTCGTCACAAGATGGCCACCACAAGATGGCTGTGAGCACAGTGGAGGCGGAGCCCAGTGGCTGCTCTGCGCAATGAGGCCTGGGGGTCCCGTGGCTCCGCACAGCGCGGAGGCCAGTCCCAGTGGAGGAGGTGGGTTGTGGGAGGGGAGGGCAGTTGTGGGCAATCAGTCCAGCAGGGGAGGGCAGTTGGGGGCGATCAGGCTGGCAGGGGAGGGCAGTTGGGGGCGATCGGGCCAGCAGGGGAGCTGTTAGGCATCAATCAGGCCAGCAGGGGTGCAGTTAGGAGGCAATCAGGCTGGCAGGCAGAAGCGGTTAGGGGCAATCAGGCAGGCTGGCAGGTGAGCAGTTGGGAGCCAGGAGTCCTGGATTGTGTGAGGGATGTCCGACTACTGGACATTCTCTGAGGGGTCCCAGATTGGAGAGGGTGCAGGCCAGGCTGAGGGACATCCCTCTCCCCCGTGCATGAATTTCATGCACCGGGCCACTAGTTAGATATAAGATTACTGTAAAAGAAAAAAGAAAGTTGGCTAATTTTTGCTTTATCTGGCTTTAAATGGTCTCCATGGTTTCTTTTCCTTGTAGAATGCCGGAGTCGCCTGGAGAAGTTCCTGAATATCCTCTGTTTGTCACAGTGGGTGACTGGCTGGATTCTATAAAAATGGGGCAATATAAGAATAACTTCATGGCTGCAGGGTTTACGACTTTTGACCTGATTTCAAGAATGAGCATCGAGTAAGTGGTACTAGGATTATTACAGGGTTTAGATGCTCCACCCAGGGGATTATAAATTCAAGTACTGTATCAAGAAACCATGGTTAAACTACCTTTCCTAAGGCTCCTATAGCATTCCCACATCTTTCCCCACCGTTTCCAAATACTGTTCTAGTGGAAGTTGGACATTACACTTTTAACTACTATTCTTTAAAAGAATATATTTTATTCAAATCGCTATTTAAAATTTTATAATAATTTCTAAAATGCATATTAGGCTTGTTCACATCATAGACTTTACATCAACATGGTTTTACTCTGGTAAGTTATTTATTACTCATATATGCTCATCTTACAGACTAGTAGTCACTTCCTGTTACTTCATCAAATGTAATCATTGTAATAATACAATATTATCATGTCATTTCAGATTTCCTTCTCTATAGTATTATGTCCAGTCATTTTCCCACTGTCTCAAAGATTTTCTTTTGCCTGTGTGCAATAAAAGTGCTCAAGATGTGCTTAAAAGGTTAGATACTAAAACTAGTAAGTTGAACCATATGAAATTGCCATTGTTTTAAAATAGTAATGACAATTTCATATGATTCAGCATAATACAATGGCATTCTTTTTCAAATTATTGAAAGATCTGAGAACTCAAATGGAGTCCACACTATACATTCTGCCCTACATACTATTTTGCTAACACTGTTGAAAATTTATACAATTACCTAAATTATATAATGTTTAGGGCTATGACATGTCTGAATATTACATTAGTGCCTGAATTTGAAATTTTCCTTAAATTTGAGGTTAACTTGATGTATTCACTAGCACCAGGGAGAAGAAAAAAGTAACAAACTCTTAATGTTCATTTATATGTCTTCTTAAACTTTTATTTTACCAGTTATACAATTTTTGGCAAATTTATAAAGCAAATCAGACATGTTACATATTTGCCATATCTCAATGTTTATTTCCTCTCTCTCATACTTAGGTCTTGGATATTCCCCAAATTTGAAAACACAATTTTATGCGAGAGAAAAAAGTAAAGAGGAGTTGGCAACATCTCAGATCTAAATGTTCATATTCTCTATTCTCTATCCCCCTCTTTCCCTGCCTCCTCTCTCTTTCTCTCCCTCTCTCTCTCTCTCTTTTTCTCTCTCAGTGACATTAGAAGAATTGGAGTCATACTCATTGGACACCAGAGACGAATAGTCAGCAGTATACAGACGTTACGTTTACACATGATGCACATACAGGAGAAAGGATTTCATGTATGAAAGGACTACAAGCACCGGTGTTTTGTGCCTCAGCATTTCTATAATGAAAGATATCCTCTCTACTACCCGCTCTTCTGAATCTCCAAACATCACTTTACAAACTGCTGTCCCCTGCTCAGACTACGGGGCACACACTCTTGTTTATGCTTCCAACCTGGATTTTTAAATCATGCTTCATAGCTCCTCTCTGAATAACCTGCAAATAAAACCCTGGCCCACTGCAGATATCACTACACAATGGTAAATAACTCAGCATGGATGTGTAACTTTGTATAACAGCATTTGGGAAGTGTTCAGGGACTTAACACAGGAATTTGCCCAGATGTAACTTCCTTAATGATGTATTTAGAGTTTGATGGTAGATGAAAAAGAAATAGTTGACCTTATTTTCATGGTTTGTGATCAAGTAGCTTCCAAATTGACATGCATATTTATTTGTTAGATAATTATATTTAACTCTATGGGTCGTATTGTTATTTTATTTTATAATGGCCTAATTGTTGATGCCTAATGTTGTTAGATTTACAGAAATGAGCAATGGTTTTATGTAGTGAATTCTTGTCAGGTGTGACTATGGTGAGAAGGGGGTTATCGGGGAGGGAAAGGGAAAAACATACTGTGCTTTCAGATCTTCTAAGGCTGGGTTTGTCTATTTTTTTAAAAGTGTCCTACGTATTTCATAGTAGGTGGTAGTTTAGAGGCTTTCCCCCTCTAATTTTTTACTAACTACAGTACTATAGTACATTTTCTCTACTACCTTATAAAGATCACCTCTAGAAAGACCATGACAGAGTCCTTTGCTCTAACGGCTTTCACAGAGTGAAGTATAGAATAAAACATGACTATTTCCTTGGCTCTTCTTCACAAGTTTCCAAAAGTAATTATTCTCAGTAGAATTCCTTGAAATAAAAGCTCTAAGATTATAGCCTTGGATTTAATGTTAAAATGTTAATTAAATTTAAACAGCATTTAATAATAGTTGTCTGGTGGCAAAAGAAAATAAACACATGTAGCTGACCATTTGATATTAGTGCATTTTGCAAGCTTAAGAATTGTGGTTTTGTTCATAAAAATAAGTTACATGAACATGCTGAGCTGTTTTCCAAACCTTCCAAGAGCCAGGTATGCCATTGCATACTCCAAAGAGAGCATAAACTGATCTAACACATGGACATGCATAAATATTGTGTCAACCTGGGTTCATAATACAGTAACATAAAAGCATGAAACAGCTAAGGTATGCTGTTGTCATAATCTTCTTGGAGGCTGTCAAAAAGACAAGTACATTTTTTAGTGAATTAAGCTGAGTCAGCTTAATTGAACAAATTCAATTATAAAATCAGCTGTTCTTTGTGAAACTAAAAAAAAAAATGACTGTTGTGCTAGGTATAAGAGTAGGGAGAATGTGTTAAGGAAGAAAAACCAAAAGGCCAGGTTGTCTAAAGATGCTAATGTAATAAATCAGTGTTTATTTGATCACATAGATAAAGGTGCCTACCCACATTCTCAGATTCCTACCTAAATCACATTTTTTGGTGACAGTAGCTTTCTTGCTATTAAAGGAGATTCACTTTTTTTGTTTATCTTTTTTCAGATTTGTTGATTGTCCTGTTAGACTACACTTTTCCACATATTTATTTTCTTAATGATTTATCTCCTGATTTTTGCCTACCACAGCTTAATTTGTCTCATTTCAAAAAAAAAAATGTATAGAGCTAAAAGGAAGAGTCTTTAAAATACTCCTTGAAGTATACTAAAAAGGAAAAAAGTAGGAAATCCATCACTTTTTAAGTAAGTGTATCAGAAATAGCTAGCAGCATTTTCCAGCCATCACCCGCATGGTCACACATCACTCACAAACTATCTGCAGTTTGCTTGATACATTAACACAAATATGAATACATTTAGAGGAAATATAAAATATCCACATTTACCTGTCTTCAAATATATATTAAATAATAACATAAATAACAGATGTAAAACAGATTAAATTTATTAACCATATATATTTATTTTTATAATACAATAAAAAAGGTATTTAGAAAAATAAGGAATAGAATAATTATGGTCTTCCATAGGACTCTGTCAGCAACATCTGTAAACTTTGATGAAATGTTTAAATTTCTTTAGGAAGAGCATTCAGTGTTTGCCACATTGAAGTTCTCTGTTAAGAAATTTTTTTCTTAAAAAAGTCTGATTCTATCCATATCTGGTTAATCTATACTTTTTTTCTTCCCTAACATCCTTATCTAGTTTTATAAACTGTCTTTTCACTTTGTCTCTTACCCCAAATCCTCTTTAAAATTACATTTACATTTTTCAGAACGATAAGCATGATAATCCTAAGAGTGTAATCTTGAACCTCATTATGGTCAGAGCAAGGTTGAAATATGTGTGCAATATTAAACTGAAACATTAAAAATAAAGCTATTTCTTTACCGCCTATCAATCACAGAGTCCATGATCCCAAGGGAATGATAATATGCAGGAATGTTAATAGTTAAGTTGTCAAATATGTTTAAAAATTTTACATGAAATATTTTGAGATTTACTAGTGTACATATTCAGTAATTAAAACTTTAATATGCATAAGCATAGCACTTAATTATAGGAAGAAAATGAGTAACTTCCATAAATCACAAGCCTTCAGGAAAAATCTTTGATAACTAAAATATGCATATATATTCATGTACCTGCATTATTTTAAATTTTCTTATCTACACTACTGAGAGTCTTTTTGGATTTTGACAATCAGACAGATGAAGAAACTATTTTCATCTTATATTCTGGGTGGTCAATTTCCAGTCTGTAGTCAACTCATTTTCTCATATTATAAGGCATATCTGAAAAAATTTTTAAAACAATGCACAATCGAGGAGATTAGTACATAAATCATCAAATTTAAAAAGTCAGAAATTGCAAAGCTCTTAGCTTAACCAGAATCAATAATTATAGCTCTTTTGCGCTGTTATAACTGTTGATAAGTAAGTTATGCATGCCATAATCAAGATGATTTCTCTTATTTCACTCTGTCCTATCCTTCAAAAATCCATTCAGCTATCACGTAAATAAAGCAGACTTCCAGCTTCAGCTTTAGGGCCTCAGTTCATGAATGGAAAACAAATCCAAATCCAATCCTTGAAAAGCAGTCTTTATAGAAAGTCTTCTGAAGGGTGACTTTTTTCCTTAAAAATCCATTTTTATTTCTTTCCCTACCCAATTTCTACTCTGTAAAGCAGTCAGTTAAATCTCTTATCGCAAAAGGTTCATGAATACTAGGTATCTTTTTTCTATTCCTTTATTAATTTTTCCAAACCTTCCTTTCTCAGTCCCCTCTGTTCTCTCTTTATTCCTCCATCCCATCTCTTTTCATTTCTCAGCTCCTACCACACCCCTTACCCTTATCAGCAAAAGAAAGGTAGCACAGCAAGTCCAAAAAGACCTTATAGGTCTCCATAAAAGATGCTGAGGGTGGAGGGAAGAAGAAATGTTGCAAATATCATACTTTAATATTTTGGGTCCTACCACATAAATGGGAGCATTTGTAGTCACAAAACATCTGAGTTCTGGATTTTCATTAACTGGAAATTAAGTGTTTTGGAAAGTAATTTCAAAAATGGATGATGATGATCCTTTTCTATAGCTTTAGCTAAGGCAATTTATTATTAATTTAAAAGAATCAAAAACTCTTATTATCATCTCACAGTTAGTGATATATTCGTGGCCATATTTTCTGTTCATGTGTATGCAGACTCACTACCTCAAAGGTGTTACTAATTAGAAAACATCGGACACTTTTTAAAAACAATTCTTGAGTAATCTCTTGCCTAAGCCAATTCACTAATCTTAGTAAATGTAAGAATAAGTATGAACCTGCAATGGTTGCATAAAGTTCTTTCATATATGATAGATTTAACAAGGGAAAGAGATGATTACTCATGACTATATCTAACATATTACTAGGTGAAATAAAGAAACATAAAAATCTTCATTGCAGAAAAATAAATACTCCATCTTTCTCTTACTGTTCCCTTAAAAAAAATTAGGTATTTAAAAGATTTCTTAGCATGAAAAATACTATTTTCTGTTATCAGGGGATGACATGATATTCGTGTCTTCTGGGGGAAAAAGATCCAGGTCATCAAAATGTAGTTCTAATTATCTTTCTTCTACAAATAATTAAATTCAAATTTCAAATGAATGATAGATTTATATAAAATGTCTTTAAAAGGACATTTACATCTTGATTGAAAGCCTTGGGTTCTTTACTTTTAATTCAAAAGAGGATTTTTGTTCAGTTGGCATTTGCTTTTATAGGATTTTTGAATAGATATGAAAGTCTACCTTTAGCTTATCATTGTTGATTCAAAATTACTGTATTTAAAAATGAAAGAAAATATTAAAAGAAAAATTTTCCATTACTAAGGATAGTAAAGCACTAGTAAAAGGAAACACTTACTCTTTTAAAAAATAATCTGGCAAATACAAAGTTTTGTGTTCTCAATGATGCCAAATCCCCTGCATTTTATTATGTTTGCACTTTCCCATTGAAAGTAAAGTTCTTTTTAAACAAAACCAGGGAAGGTTCTTGCTTGAATTTCAGCACTGGTTAATCAGAATATTAAATCTCTAAGAGAACTTTTAATTAAGAGAACTTTATATATGTTTCATTTAAAAGAAAATATCTTAAAGAATTCCACCACCTTTAAAGGAGTACATGACAGATGAGGATGAAAAATAGCTCTTAAATGTAAAGATGTGGTTTCTACTTTAGGTTAGAAAATAAAGTACAGATTAAGAGCACTATTTCCTGGGAGCTGTAAATTAGAAAAGTATCAGAACTAGCAAAAATCTCTCAAGGAAAGCTCTGTCCTTATCCATGTTTCTCCATTATTTGTAACCTCTGGTTGTCTTTAATTTATCATCATAAATTCGCTTTTGGTTAAGATAATAAGTTATCAACTCAAATAATAAATCAGAACTGAGATGCGGCATTAAGT